TCAATCCTCCTCCGGCTCGTCGGCCTGCAGCAGGGCTCCAGGGGGCCCGGCGGCGGCGGCGCTGCTCTCCGTCTCCGCCTGCGGCTCGGGCCCGGAGGCGGCGGCGGCGGCCCGCTTGTCCCGCTGCTTCTCCTGGATCTTCTTCATCTCCTCCGAGTACTTGCAGAAGGTGTGGCCGAACTTGGCCCACACCTTGTAGGGGACGGTGATGGAGTTGCGGTAGGTGGGCTTCACCTCGCTCACCCGCATGAACACGCCGTACTTGTTGGAGCCCACGTCGAAGAAGAAGCGCTTGTTGTCTACAGTCAAGGAGGTGCCCTCGGGCAGCTCGGCCGGCTCCTCCTCCACGCCGTAGTCGTCGATGAGCTTGGCCAGGGCGTCGCGGAACTCGATGAGCCCCTGCGCCGGCAGCGCGATGGTCTGGCCCTGCGTGGAGCCCAGGCCGGGCCCCCGGTTGACGGTCTGGCGGATGCGGAGGAAGCGGCCGCGCTGGTTCTCCTTCAGATCCATGTAGTACTTGCGGTTCTCCCGCACCAGAAACTCGCTCTTCAGCGCCCGGCGCGGCTCGTCGGCGGCCTGCGCCAGCTCGGGCGGCTGGCTGGGGCCCAGCTGCGCGTAGTGCTCGATGAAGTCGCCCAGGTAGTCGCGGAACTCCACGGCCACCGACATGGAGAGCGTGAGGCGGCTCTTGTTGCCGCCCGCGCCCACCTCGGCGATCTTGAGGAAGCGGCCCTTGGCGTTCTGCTTCACGTCCAGGTAGAAGCGCTTGTTCTGGATGTCCACCCGCTTGGAGGCCAGCTCCTGGGTCTCGTGCTGCAGGCCGCCCCCGGCCCCCCGCCGCCGGAGCCCGACCCCCGGCGCCCGGCGCGCCCCCGCCCGCCGCCGCCCTGCTCGCTGCCACTGTCTCTGTCCGCCATGATGCTGCCCGCCCTGCGCCCGGCCGCCCGTCCGCTGCCGCCTCCGCCTGCCGCTTCCCTGCTCCGCCCGCCGCCGCCGCCGCCGCTGCTGCAACCCCCACAGCCACCAGCCGGCCGCTCTCGCGAGATCTGCGGGAGAGAGAGGAGAGAGCGGGTAACACGGCAGAGAGAGGCGTACAGTACGGGGCGCCCTACTGTACAGGCGGCAGCGCCGCGCCGGACGGACAGACAGACAGACCGCCCCCCACCCCCGGCGCGCTGCCCCCGGCCCCGCCCCCCGCGCGCGCAGGGCTCCGCTGCACCGCCAGCCGGCCCCCCTCCTGGCGCGTGCACACCAGCCCCAGCCTGCTCCCCCGGGGCACGCAGCTACAGCAGCACGGGCCCCTTCTCCGAGGAAGGGAACACAGCTCAAAGTCTCCGCCCACCCCGCCCCAAAACACAGCAGGATCGTGGCCAGCTCGCCCCCCGAGCTTTGGCGCAAGTGAACGAAGGGGCAGGCAGGGACTGCAGATCAATCCCCGCAAGCCACCTCGTCCTCTAGTTTTTAAAAGCTGCCTTTAAAAATAACTCCACATAAATCATTGCAAGCCGCCTCGTCCTCAGGCTTTAAAAGCTGCCTTTAAAATAACAGCAATGCCACTCGTTGGCAGAGCCCTGCTAAATGCAATGAACGACCAGGAGGACAGTTACCTGAGCAAACATATCTGAAGGTAACAGGAGAAGCTGGGCTATTCCTGGCATGACGGGGAGAGCACAGTGTCTCAACACAGTATTCAAGCCCTGGCATGATGATAATGGTGAGAAAATGCACCATAGCTGGCCCTGTGGGTCCCTTGGATAACATCATGAACCAAAATAACTGTCCCTGTGTTTTCTGAAGGTACACTACTCTGGTGATGGAACCAAACGCATTCGCCCAGAGTGAAAAGACCTTGCTAAATTCTCCCTGCAAATTAGATCTGCTGTGACCTTTTGAGATGATCCAGTTTTTCCATTCATTGCAAAACTCCCTCCCCCCCACCCACCCAAAACACTAAATACCACATGCTAACCCCCTGCAAAAGCCGACACCCACATCCACAACCGCACAGTAGCCCAGATCAGAACGGGGCTGGAGCTGTGGTTTCTATTAACTCATTTCTAACCCTTGTTTGGAGTGGGTTAAATACATATTGAGTTGAATTATTTAAAAAATGACTGTTCCCGCAGCCCCGTCTCCCCCCGGCTGCAGGGATCCAGGGTCAGGAATCCGACTGGGAGCTTCATCTCCTTTCAGATTAGGGACCGAGTTCCTGGGGCAGGTCTGAATAGACACCCCCTTCTGGAAGCGGCAGTTATTCGGGGTTTGAGAGGGAAGTGACTCAGTGTCAGGCCCCGTTCCGCCACAGATGAGAAATCAAAAGGGAGGGTCCCAAAGGAGGGGAGAAAAATCATCGCGTAAATATGCCCGGCATTTCCAGGGAAAGGCAGCTCTTGGTTAGGCTGGCTAGGGCTGACTCCGCTCTGAGGAATCAAGAGGCTGGAAACACCCCCAGGAGGCTCAGCTGGGGGGGTGTGTGGCTGGGGAGCGCTCCCCTTGAAAGAGAAAAAGAGCGAGCAGGTCACCCCGAAGCTCCCCTGCAAAGCGGCCCGAGGACGCAGCAGGCACCGTGTTCTATGCAGGGCGACCTGGAAAGAGGTTTCCTGGACAGCGGGGTTAGGAGACCAGGGGGAGGACGGGAAAGCGGATGAAACTGTCCTTGGCCTGGGGCGTGAGGGGGCCCGAGCGGGGGGTAAGGGAAGATTCCCCTGGCCTGGGAGCAGAGCTCGGGGAGCTCAGAGATGCAGCCCCTGTCACTCATAGCCTCAGTCATGGCCTTAGCCGATTTTAGCCAAGCTCCAGTTGCATTGCCAAGCTCTGGGTGTACCCAGCAGCCCTGCCCTCCCACCGCCCTCAGCCGGGCAAGGGAACGGGGTGCCCGGACGTAGGGATTTTACCTGTCCGGCCAGATGTCACTCCCGACCCACGCGCCCCTCGCACGCACCGGTCTGCCCGGCAAGGCTGGCCAGGCATCGGGGGACCTCCCCGCTGGGACCCGAGGGACCAAACAGCACCAGCTGGCCTGGGTATGGCTGCAGTGAGGGCGAGCGGGGTCCCCAACAGGGCGCAGACCCAAGGCAGCTGCGTGGAACTGGCGCGGTAGCGGCAAAAGCCCGGCTCACTGCGCCTTCTCCAGAGCCCTCACCCCCCAGAGCCGGGCACTGCCCTCGAGCGGGCTAGAGCGGCCGCCCCACGCCGAGGGGACTGCGCAGGGAAAGCTCCTTACCCCATTGCTCTGCCCTTGATCGCCGCCCGCCAGCACCCGCTGCCCCTGCTCCAGTGGCTCATCCTCCCCCCACTCCCACCCTCTTCCCCTTGGGTCCAGTGCCTCATCGCCATGGCCCATCCTTCTCCTGCCCAGAGCCCCTTGGCAGAGCAGGCAGTCTGGCTGCTACTCCCAAGCCGATCGGGGCTCCCCTTCCCTTGCTGTAGCTCCCAGAGCACCCACCCCCAGAAGGAACAGGCTCTCCTGACCCGCCGTCTTAGCCCGGCTACCCGAAGCCAAATTCCGAGTCTAGGGGCAATAGGAAACGTACTGAGGGTGGCATTTGTTTTGGCACTGGCAGGGGTGGCGACTGGGGCTAAGGAGGCAGGAGAAAAAGTCAAACCGGAGTGGCGCTGGCACCGGGGAGGAGGGGCATTAGTCGGTGTGACCCCTGAGCTGTCTGACAGATCCAACCCCAAAATGCAGCTCCCCAGGACTTGGCGTTCACAAGCCGCCCTGACCCAGACCAAACCCTGCTTTCTAAAACCTCTCCCCAGCTTCTTCCCAAGGCGGCGAGAGGTCTGCGGAAGGAGGGGAAGCTCCAGGGGATGTCTAGAGCCGGTCGGCTTCCTAAGGAACGCCCTGCACGCCCCTTCTAGCGGGGCATTCACACGCCCCTCGGTGTCCTCCAATTCTACAGCGACTTCACTTGCTAAGGGAAAGCATTAGAAGAGAAAACCAAGGATCGGGATCGCTTGCCACGTGCCATCATTCTAACAGAGGACTTGAAAAAGATTTGCTCTTTAAAGGGTAAAACCGAACCCAAATATTTATGCTCGGTAAAGGGGATAAAAGAGCAATGCACACTTAATAAAGAAGATGTTTTCCTCGGTGGTAAGTGATCTAACCTAGCAAAGGAATTCTTAATAGCCACCCAGTGCCCTCTCACTGTGTGTGCAGCATCTGCAGCCCACCCCGCTACCTACACCGGGAATTTGAGCTTCTCTTTACTATTCCCCTTCGTCAGTGAAGGAAATGTACCATTGTTACGTTCCCTCCCCTCAACCCCCCAGGTATGGTAAATCCACTGCTGCAGAGACAGATTTTAAAAGCAAGGTTTCAATTATGCCTTCCCCCTTGTACTGTCCTCTAAACACACCGAATTAGAGGAGAAACATCCGAAAAGCAGTTTGACATCAGTACTTACGGCTTGTCAGCTGCGGGGGACAGCCTGGAAAAAGGGATACTTGCAGCACCAGGTCAATTTAAAGTGTTTGACTAATTTGAAACGAAAATTTTAGTTTTTAGATCTGTTGGAAAAGCAAGATTGTATCGAACAATTGTCTTAAATTATACATCTAAACCAGCTTCTAGAAACCAGATTTATCATCATGGGTTTTAGACAAGACATTTAAATGCGCCTTCGAATTACAAACTGAAAACATCCATCTGCCTGTCTAAACAACCAGAAGAAACATAATTTGAACTTTTGAAACCATTTTTATTTCTATCTTTTGTGCTTTTAAAACTAATCTCACCAGGAATATCACAAAGCGATCTAAACCCGCTAAACTAGCTGGAAGTTAGTTCACCAGAATCCAGACTACAGAAACTGAACGGATTCATTTTAATTCCAAAGTGACATTTTTAAAGTTTGCTGTTTTGCCCTTAGGTTTCCGATCGTGACAATTTATAAAGAATGACCGTTTTCATGACTGCTGATCGAGTTTTTGCAACGAAAAAAAGTTTTTATTTAAACTTCAGAAAGATACAGCAGGCATTGTTAAAGATTCGAATCGAAATTTATAAAATTTAAGTACAAAATATCCTATTTACACGACAGCTGTGAGAGACAACTTATCAGCAAATCAAATGTAGGGAGTTCAAAAACTAATTATGTATGTTCCAAACAAATTCTTAGATGTAAGCAATAATTAATAGAGAAGAGAAAATGAAGGGAAAACGAAAAATAATTGAAAATGTGTCCAAGTAAAAAACTAACACCAAATTTTTAAAAAAGCTCAATACACGCGTTTTCGTTAAAACGTATTAACATGTGTGGGAAAATATTTAATATTTTGTTTTTATCAATATATTTCGTATAATCAGCCTGATTAAAATTAACTTGCAAGACAGTTGCTGTTAAGAAAATGCATGAATGGATCAGGTGAACTCCTTTTAAAGGCTGTTTGTTTTCTGAGAAACTGAACAAGTTTCACTGAAAGCACAGATCGCAAAACTTTACACTCTAATTCTCTCTGAATGTGAAAATGATGGAAGTTCTGAAGTCAAAAAGACAATTTAACATAAGTGCATCAAACCAACAGCTGCTACTCTGAAACATCTACAGAATATTCAAGAAAGCTTAAAGCCAGAATGTTTCCATTATCTCTAGTTTCCACCAGTCCCTTTGTGAGGAAATACAGTGACGATATAATTATTTCACATCCATCTTATTCAAATTCAGAAGCACTCTAGCTTTTAATGTGTATTACTTCAATATGAAACATGCTTTTACTAATAATTAATCTTGTAGCTATTTTACCATTTAACATTTACATTGTTTGTAACATTTAAAAATCTCAAAGAGTAAAAACTGTGAAAGAATGAGCAAGCTACAATTTAACAATATTTTTATGTAATTGCTTTAATACTAATTAATACATTTTGATAAAAACATACAACACTAGAATCCCAGACTGAGAACAGATATATTATAGTAAATTAGATTTAAAAAACTGAGACAAATGGATTCAATTCATATCTGCTCTACCCTAGTGTACACTGAATGGGACAGGCGAAATCTTTAATAAACTTTAATACAGAACAACTGAACCTCAGAAA